CCCGGACACATACTCTTCCTGATTTTAAAATCATGTAGTATCCCTTTTCTCTGTTTGAACAGCCTCTTGGTCTTATGTACAGGTTCCTCAGAGGCACAATTAAGTATTCTGGAATTCCCATTCTTTGAAATGTTATCCATAATTTGTTACGATCCACACAGTCAAATGCCTTTGTATAGTCAATAAAACACAGGTAAACATCTTTCTGGTATTCTCTGCTTTCAGCCAAGATCCATCTGACATCAGCAATGATATCCCTTGTTCCATATTCTCTTCTGAATCCACCTTGAATTTCTGGAAGTTCCTTGTCAATACACTGCTGCAACTGTTTTTGAATTATCTTCAGCAAAATTTTACTTGCGTGTGCTATTAATGGTATTGTTCGATAATTTCCACATTCTGTTAGATCACTTTTCTTTGAAATGGGTACAAATATCAATCTCTTCCAGTCAGTTAGCCAGGTAGCTTTCTTCCAAATTTCCTGGCATAAACTAGTACATGCTTCCAGTGCTATGTCTATTTGTTGAAACATCTCATTGGGTATTCCATCAATTCCTAGAGCCTTGATTTTCGCCAATTCCTTCAGTGCAGCTTGGCTTCTTCCTTCAGTACCATTGGATCTTAATTATGCTACCTCCTAAAATAGGTGAACATCGACCAATTCTTTTTGCTACAGTGACTCTGTGTATTCCTTCCATTTTCTTTTGATGCTTCCTGCACATTCAATATTTTGCCCATAGAATCCTTCAATATTCCAACTTGAGGGCTGAACTTTTTCTTCAGTTCTTTTGGCTTGAGAACTGCTGAGTGAAGCACAGCCATTATTTAAAATTAAATTATGCAAACTTACAATTAAATTATATTAAAAACAAGGTAACGAATACTCAGAACTCATCACTTCCTAAGTATCTGAGCACATTTTACCCTTTATGCTCCTCTGGTTATTTACATCTATCATATCTGTATGATGGAAATACTGTACAGTTGTGTGCTACTGCACATCTCTTCCTGATTCAGTGACATCCTCTGGTAGCTTGAAATCTGTTGTGGTGGAAGTGTTTACACCACACAAATCAATAAATGCTTAATAATTATTTTGATGATTATCTAGATTTTTAAAAGTGACAGAGAACATACTAATGATGCAGGTTTGATTTGAGTGTGTCAAATCTGTAGCCATTAGATTGTGAATGTTGTTGTAGTGTGCAATCAAGTCAATTCTGATTCACAGTGACCCTATGTTGTTGTTGTTGTGTGCCATCGAGTCGGACCTGACTCATAGCAACCCCTCCTTGGGTTCCCGAGGTGGTATCACTACGGAAGTAGATTGCCCAACCTTCCTTCCGAGGAGTGGCTGGTGGGTTTGAACCGCCAACCTTCTGGTTAGCAGTCAAGTGCCTTAGGCATTACGCTACCAGAGCTTCCTAGTAGCCCTATATGACATAGGGTTTTCTAGGCTGTAACCTTTACAGGAGCAGATTGCTAGATCTTTTCTCCTAAGGAGCTGCTGAATGGGTTCGAACCACTGATCTTTTGGTTAGCAGCCAAGTGTTTAACCATCTCACTACCAGGGCTCCTTAGATTGTGAATCAGACCAAAAATTTGAGGAAATATTCTTCCAGTATCTGAAAACTATTCAGCAAAGAGGTCACTCAAGTTACTGAAAAATGAGTAAAGTTCTGATCTCTCTCTTGACATGCCAAAATATCACCCAATGTTCATATTGGAACAACTCATTAGTCAAGTGCAATCATAGACAGGCTACACAATATCAATGAAGTGTTCTGTGAAATCAGTTAGCTGTATGGAATTTACAATAAAGAACATTGCATATTTTATCATTATTTGTAAGTTGTGCATTACAACCCTTTCTATTGGTAAAGTTAATAATATACATACAATAGACATGTACATAGGAATGAAGACATAATTTGCATGGCTCAGTGCAAAATAAATATGCTGGGCCTTTGTTCAAAAGTCGTTCAGAATTTCAAGACAGTGACAACATAGAATTATGACTTCACTGGTTACATCCTCCAAAAGCTTGCCTTGTATATACACACATGGCCGCCCACTCTCAGAGCTGGTTGTTAAATATTTACAAGTTCCCCGCTGAGCATGGGCTTTTGAAGCTGGCTAAACCTGAGTGCCCTGTGCTACCAAATCAGACAAAAGAAAGGAACAGTGATTATTAAAATGCTGGCTCCATCACTTACCAACTCTATGAGACAACTTCTTTGTACCTCAAGTTACTCATGTATAAAATTGAAACAATATGATCTGCCACATAG